CTGAAAAATTGTGGTTGGAAATATTGTCACTTCTTTGAGTCGTTTCCGAAACGCTCCGGCTAGGAATAAATTTCTGAACGCTGGCTTAGCGAAAATTTTCCGTGCAGCTTGATATTTATACCACGTATACGCGATTTATCTCGCACGAAATTTTGGCATTTCGCTCGTGAAAGAGCACTAGCAACGATTCGTAGTCTGCGAAAATATCTATGATTTTGTATACATGGTGAATAATAAATGTTATCCAATAGACCTTTCCCCTTATAACCAAAATTTTGATCTGGGCAAGTCTATACAAATATTTCATCACAGCTTGAAAGAGCATCACAAAATTAGTAATATTCCAAAGTTTCGTTGCGAAATGTTGTAAAATGAGGAAAATAGAGCCTTGCGAAGTTTGCAATTTTCAGTCATTTTGCATTACAAACGAGAAATTGCAGCCCCAACACCCGAATCGGATGTCAATTTCCCGTTTGCCTTCAAAATGACTGAAAAACGGCAAACTTCGCAAGGCTATATTATCCGCATTTTGCAAGATTTTGCAACAAAACTTTGCAATATTACTAATTTTATGATGCTCTTTCAAGCTGTGATGAAATTTTTGTCTAGATCGAAATTTTAGTTATAAGGGGAAAGGTCCATTATCCATGGCATCTTATTGCGTGTTGTTATGGGTAGTGAGCCTACACATTCCCTTCTTTCGCATCACTAATGATGTAAAATGATACCTTACTCGCAATTATTGAGAGCAAAAATAGTCACATGCTATCCAATTGTTAAGCCCGCCGCACACGAGCGCACTTGTCGCACGTACTTGTTATTCGTGACAAGTTGGATCGACAAAATTTCCTCGTGTGCGGGCAACATTAACGGCATTTTCGTCATTCGTGACATGTAAACCAAATATCACACATGTTTGATATTTTTCGTCATTCGTGACAAAAAAATTCTCGTGTGCGGCGAGCAAACGACAAGCGCGCCTGAATAGGAAACTTGCGCATGCGTGCAACTTGCAGAATTAAAAACAAGACACGAGCTTGCGATTTTGATCCGCCATGTTGTTTTTAATTCCTGCAAGTTGCACGCATGCACAAATTTTCCCATTCAGGCGCCCTTGTCGTTTGCTCGCCGCACACGAGAATTTTTTTGTCACGAATGACGAAAAATATCAAACATGTTTGATATTTGGTTTACATGTCACGAATGACGAAAATGCCGTTAATTAATGTTGCCCGCACACGAGGAAATTTTGTCGATCCAACTTGTCACGAATAACAAGTACGCGCGACAAGTGCGCTCGTGTGCGGCGAGCTTTAGAAAGGTATCATTTTACAACTAAAAAGTCTTTATTGATACTACGAATAAAGTAGATGTTTAAACTGAATAACAAACACAATTACATGCTAAAGTCGAATTATCATTTCTTTAATACACCCTGGGCGGGAATCCCGAAACATCGAGTTGGATTCGAGTTCGAGTTCGAGTTGGACTTCGATTTAGACTTCGAGTTATTTATATACCGGCATTTCCGAATGTTCCGGTAATTTCCGAACAACTACGATTCTTGTTTACTTCTTCGAAACTCGTGTTTATAGTATACATGCAGAGGTCTACATGGGAATCCCGAAACATCGAGTTGGATTCGAGTTCGAGTTCGAGTTGGACTTCGATTTAGACTTCGAGTTACTTATACACTGGCGTTTCCGAATGTTCTGGTAATTTCCGAACAACTCCGATTCGTGTTTGCTTCTTCGCAACTTGAAACACGTGTTATTACGTTTATAAATATGGAGAATGAAACGTAGCAATGTAAATTTACTTTATTATAAATCGTTTTTATAATGAACTTTGTTGTACATCTTAATATACAGTAATTACTATGTATATTTTGGAAAAGAATATATTAAAATTTGTACATTTTAAGCATTGTTTCGTTCAAAATATGCATTCGAAACTATCAGTACTATTCTGCATATCCACAAACGTGGTATTAGGGATTATCCTTAATTGTCAAAATTTGCTAAAGATTAAGGAAATGCCTTATATTAAGTTGAACCCTAACCCCCACCCAACCCCCACTCTAACCTCTAACCCTGGTTTAATCTTAATCTGGCCCTAATCTAATCCCAATCTAGAAATGATTACCTTTTTTTAATATTCCCGCCCCTGCGCGTCCAGCCTCCCTAATACTACGTGTGGGATATGTTGCATTATTAGTCTTGAAAGGTCAAGGAGAGTACTATATAGAGGATGTTAGACGGCGGTGTACTACAATACTTCATGTGAACTCGTCATATGCGCATCGCTGTTTTTTTTACAAAGAAACGCCTGGATACGGAGACAGGGTGTAGTATGCGATAGCAGACTGATCAGCACTGCCTCATTCTCGTACCCAGAGCCCTTCTTACGCTCTGCCTCTGATATTAGTCTGCTGTTTCTCAGTGCCTTTTTTAACTATATATCTGGGGGGGGGGGGGGCAATTTCCCCC